GTAAATCGCACATCCGGCAAGGAGCCCTCACACGGCGGGATGGTCTGCAGTGTGTTCCCCCCGTCATCTAGAGTCGAGTTGGACGCAAAGAGAGAGCTTAAAAGATCGGCTTTCTCCTTTGCGGCATGAGCCAGTGAGTCGTCCTCTCTGTGCAGAGATGGAAGAGATGGCTGACAGAAGTTCCCTTGGACAGCCTTGGCGAAAAACCAGAATGCACGGGTTCCCAAAGGAAGGCGAACTAGCTTCTCGCCAATTCTGCCGATGTGCTCAGACCTTGCCTTGGCAATAAAGCTTTTGAAGGACCTGGAGGCGGAATTATACTTCTTTTTAAGTGTGCTGGTGTTTACATCCTGAGACGTTGATGCGTCAGCCCAGGCCCGCTAGCACTCCTGCTTATAGCGTGAAGCTATTTTACAGGAGCGACCAAACCATGGCTGGGATCTGCCTCCGATGGGTACCACAGAGGATGGAATAAAAAGTTCCATAGCCTGAAGTACCACATCAGCAACAGAAACGGCAACAACGCTGGGATCTTCCGGCGAGAAGGAAACCCGCGCCCAAGGGTAGGATGTAAAAAAAGAACGCATCCCGTCCCAATCGGCTGACCTATAGTGCCAAACACGGCGGCAAGCTGCAGATCGCAACTGTGATGGGAGCGTGAGTGGCACCGTACTCCGGAGTACGGTGCCACTCACGCTCCCATCACAGTTGTCTCTTCGGACCATTGTCTGATCCGGATCAGACAATGGTCCGAAGAGCCCAGAGGGGCATCGAAGAAGACCTGATATCCGTCCGGATGAGAGGTCAGTAGAAGCTCCAACAGGGAAGGTACATGATCTTCCACATCTGGGATCCGCGTAGGCGAAGTAACCAGTTGTGTTAGACCATATGCTAAGGCAAAGTCATAGACAGATCTACCCGCATGATCGGTTAAATGGGAGCCAAGCCATTCAGCGTGGTGGGCGTTAAAATCACCGAGTATCACGATCTCTGCAGATGGTACCTGTTGTAGCACGGAGTCTGCAGCCATTTGGACGTGCTCGATGAGTCAGTCTGTGTCGGCATTACCGCTATGGGAACTATACCCGTAGACGCGGGGATGGTCGTCGCTGTCTACGCGCGGTCGTAGGATGGACAGGTCCGTATCTTCAAGACTGCCGAGGCGTCGAAAACAGATGTCCTCTCTGACGTATACGCAAACCCCAGCCCAAGGCACAAAGGAGTGTTCTAATTTGTACCCCGGGAAGGAGAGATATGAAGCATCAGCCGGAGAGGACACATGAGTCTCGGTTAAAAAGAGCACCTGAGTCTCGGTTAAATTGGGCCTCCGGCCACCTGCACTCACTAAGATGTACGCAACGCAGATGTAAACCTCTACTTCACGCTGGTATTCTGTGAGCTCGTGGTACCACCCCGGTTCGAGCCGACCCATCCGTGCGACAACAAAAGCTGCCGAGTGGCTCTACAACTGTTAATTGTATGTAATAACTTATAATCAATATATAATTATTTTAATACAATGCAAGCGTCTTTGTTCCTGTTATGGAATCTTTGCTCTTCATTGGGGCCCCAAAACAAATTTTGATACAGGGCAAATCTAAGGCACACTACGCCACTGTTAGAATCACAGTGCACAGTTGCTTATGCCATCTCCTCTTTGGATTTGCTTTATTGCCTACCGATCGAACCATACGAATGTTTGCGTGTGCAGTAAAACCAGTCAAAATAATGCATTATCACGCATCTTGAATTTAAAAGATAAAAAGGACAGAATGTTTGAGATCTTTTTTTATTAATTAAACTCTTCACCATTTACCTATATTACTTATTCTGAACCTTCTCTGCAAAGACCGGTTATTGCAAAATAACCCTGTATATTTGAAAAGAAATAGAAAAACGAGGAATAAAAAGACCGATTTGGTTGTCATATTTATTTTAAAACTAAGAAAGTTATTTACAAATTTAAAGATAGAACATTATCCTTTTTATAAAAAAAAACGAAATAAAGTCACAATTGATCATAGGTACCTCAACAAGTATAATTCAACATGAATAAGAATAGTTTACTCATAACAAGATCAACTAAGGCTAGATAGTTACGATCTACCTGCGCCAAAAAACGCCAATGATTAGCTACGAAGCCGAAGATCGGGCTAAGTGGTGCGCTTCCAGAAGATCGTTGGCTGACGATGATGATTGAGAAGTAGATACTTGAGCTTACGATATTAAATATACAATATGTAACAAAAACCCTGTGGTTCCCGTTCAGTACGTTATCAGGATCATAATTCAAACGTATAGAAATAACTTTTTTTTTTTTAAAACTAAATAAAATAAAAACAAAATTTTTTATTTTATTTAAAAAAAATGTATGCAAATTGTATGTGGTTTTATTACCTCTGTCTCTTGTAAGGGGAGTAAGTGGATTGTCAAAGACCCCGCTTTACTTAGCTTTAGCATCGGCTAGTGTCCGTAAGAGATAATAAAACCACATAAAATTTAAAAAAAAATGTGGTCGTTTTAAAAAAATATTTCTATAGGTTTGTATACTGATCCTGATAACGTACTTAACGGGAACCACAGGGTTTTTGTTACATTTTGTATATGCAAATTAATAACAGAAAATTTTGAGACAGATGGCTGTCTCGCACCGTAGGTGTCAAAGGAGCTTCACAAAGGAAAGCGCGAAGATAACCATATCCTATTACCAACCAACCAACCGTGTAGTGGCGGTGTAAGAATATCCACTACCCCATATCGTCGCGTAGGTGTCCTAAAAGGCCGTAGAAGGAAACAAACCAGGAGATTTGCAGCAACTTCTTCCTACGGTTCCTACGGTTGCCCACCTACCTGCCATGTGTGGTAACTATGGAAGTATTCCTCTTATGAGGCAATCTATGGGGGAGGCCTATGTTCAGCAGTGGACTTTGATAGACTGTAGTGATGATTTATCTTTGATTACTGTACATGGTATTTATGTATTTAAATACAAAAAACGTTATTGTTTTCAGCTATCTATGAATACCTAATATACCTAAATAAACTGATAGTGCTTAGCGTGAAAAGATCTAACATTCAATAAAACGTTCGCTCGGTGTTTAATATTTTAAGGTCAGGTAATATATACCTACCGACTAAAAATAATATCTATTTCTGAATTTCAAGTGTTACAAAATATTTTTTCAAAAATATTTTTATATTATTCCTACATTTTTGTTTATTTCTTTTATTAGGCTCTCACAACAATGAGTACACTGTTACATACATATGGAATGACATCACAATTATATAACTAATACTTTGTTAGTTAAATGTTTCGAATTCGACATTATGTATTTTAATAAAAACATAAACGGAACACAAGTGGTCTGTACTAAATACATACAATCTTAAGGCGGATACAATTAAAATCAAATCCAACAAATCCTTTTCCTATAATTAAAATACAAAATAAGTTTAAAAGATATATAAAAATTTAAATTTAAATGGCAGGTGCGAAGACAACATTAATAACACAGCAACAACAACAAGTACTAAAAAGAGAATATTAACACGTTTACAAACGTTAATTACAATGAATTTTCTTTTTGATCTTTTTATCTATAGTATTCTTAAATTTTAATAAACAAATACGTTCTGAGGTGCTTATCACTAAAAATTTGGACTTAGAGACTTAAAAAATCTAAACTATTATTATCACGATAGTACATACATGAATAATATTATTTTAGTCAATTATAAGTTTAAGATGGCTTATAAACATTAGTTTAACTTTGAGAATTAATTATTTTTACAAATTAAATCGCCAGCGACAACTTAACAACTTTTTAAAATAAAATGGCACTAAAAGCGATTATACGGGAAAAATAGACATTTAGTTTGATTTATTAGATCTAATCTTGAACTGAGTCGATAATGAATGGACTGTAATAATAATTGTTATAATAAATGAAAAAGAAAATATCAAGCTATATTTAAAAAAAAAAACTGAAATCATTTAATAAGAAACAATTATAATATATTAGAAACATAATAATCCATAAAAATAGAATTCAGCCGTTTATTGTAAAGGCAACATTGAACACTAGAAAAATTATTTTAATTGCAGTGACCTCCGAAGTGAGTCTTGGTCACCGATACGAGAACACGCCACTTGTTCCCGTCTTGCGCAATCTCTCACCAAATGTCACCAGTTCAAAACGCGCGCAGGTTCATCTACGACTGACTGTTGCTGTTAAATTCATTCATTTCATTCATTCAAAAAAGACTGATAACGGGGAGCAGCTCTACTTTTGAGAGTTATCAGCATAAGAAACCTTTCATGGAATGCATGCCCCAGAAAACATGATCCTGGACCATCTCCATCCATCGACCACATCTCACCAGGTTGCGTTCTACCTAGGTCACTATCTGAATCAAGATTGTCACTCGAGCCCCTTTCTTCCTCAACGGCTGTCTGTTCTTCAGGCTATATTAAATTTTAATTGTGATGATAAGATATAAACCTTAAATTATTTCTAAACCTTAAAAAATAAGCATTATTTACTCCAACAGTAGGATCATATATCTATATAAAATTGTACACTGAAACAAATGCTTTTTAAATTCAACAGTACACGAGAAACTAATTAGTAATTACATTTCTGATATCGGATATGCAACCGGTTATGAAAACTCAAATGATTACGCCATAGGCATTCATAGGAATTAACACTTCTTTCTGCCAAGTTATTTGGGGTAGGCATAGCATGTCTTCCTCTACCATTTCCCTCTATTAGCCGTCATATCTTTACTCACTCCTACCTTATGCATATCATCCCTAATACAGTCCATTCATCTTTTATAAGGCCTCCCTGTACTCTTATATCAATCCACTTTCATAGCAAACATTCATATTCAACATTCATACGAATGAATACAAAATGTATAAAACTAGTATACAGGCTATTAATATTTTGTACTTTGAATGGGTAATTATTTACACGCTCTCAAAAAAATATTCACGCAAGCTTATTTCGATCGATATCTAATTTCTGCCTCAAAACACCGGCCAGAATGAATTCCGTCGAAACTATCGTAGCACCTTTCCGCTTCAGCGAGGGCCACAAGGACTTGTCTGCACTACAGGAAACGCAGATCCACTTTGGACCTTCTTCTTTCCACGTCCCACCAGAACATTCTACAATCACTGAAAAAGAAATATATTGTAAAAAAAAATCACGAATTTTCTCTACGTTCTTTCTACACATACATAGATTACACTTGGTGAAAAATCAACACCCAGAAAAATCACTTGTAGGCTATACAAATATTTGTTTCACACGAGATTGAAATCCGCGACCCGCGGCGCTGCAACCCATTGCTTAGTTAATAATAATAAAGTCATCCATAATTAATTCAGTCACTGCGACCAGTGTTAATACAGACTAACTTCTGTGTGATTTGTAACAGGATTATAGTACACGGGTGTGTTGTGCGCAAGCGGTTGCATTTTCTGCTCCTTCACTCTCATAGTCCGATGGAACGGCACACCGACGCGACCGGAGAGAGATCATGCGCAGGACCAATAGCTTTACGTACTTTCCAAAGCACCGTCGTGAAACATCGCCAGCTAGACTTTGTACGTTTTTTTATACGTGGTAGAGCCATGCTGCAGCTATATTAATAGTATAGTTGTAGCATGAACGGGTCGGCTCGACCGGGGAAGGACCACGCTCTCACAGAATACCAGCTTAAAATGGCAACGTACCACTGCAGTGTTTCGTATGGTGAGTTTAAAGATCCAGAGAGACCCTTTTTACTGGAAAAGAGGCATTCCATCTTAGTCCTCACGGGTGACAAGGCATCTGCATTTTGATTCGCAAACGAGGATAGATGTAGATGTCTATGGGTCACAGCAACCATTACCATCAGGTGGACTGTGTGCTCGTTTGTCACCCTATCCTATAAAAAAAAAGATGACACCGGACTGCAACAGAGATTTTTGACAGAAAATACCAATAACTGATTTTGACCTAATCTGGGATTAAAGTCCGGGAACATAAGATCAGCAGTTGCGCCTCGAACTATTAGACCAATAAGGTAGACAATGTCTATAAAGGTACGGACAGACGTGCTCATTACTAGCACGAAAGCATGCTTTTATTGGTCAAGTGCAAATTAGTAGCACGTTTGTCGCAACGTTGCTAGTAATGAGCATGCTTATTTTGAGCATACTACCTGCTGAGGCGCGGGTAGAAGGGTTTGCTTATGAGCATGTTATTATCGAATCGATCTCGATCCGCGACATTTAATGCGTCAATTTAAAATAAATTTTATTGAGTTTTGTACGAATAGCACTGTCATCATATCTTTGTACATCCATTTTGGCCGAGAGCCTGGTGCCAAATAGCACGTTTGTCTAAAGTTTGCTTTGAGCATGCTTATTTATGAGTATGTTTTAAGCGTGCTTATTGCTGGCAAATGTGAACAGTTGCAGAGCATGCTAATTTTAAGCAAGCTTATGAGCATGCTATTTTTTGAGCACATCTGTCCGTACCTTAATGGATCGTGACCAACCTCTGATCTAATCGCATAAGCGTATATAGGGCAAATAAGGACCATAGCTTTTAAAACATTTTTAAACGTTACCAACAGTTGTATTTGCATTGTTTGCACATTATTTTAGAAGTATAAACAAGTGTTCAGTTCACATGCGATACGAGTGAAAGCTTGAAATGAAATAACATTTCATAGCAAATGATTAATTTAATTTGATAATTTTCAACCACAAGTGCGGCATAAAATATAAAATAAAAGTGTAATTTTATAGCAAATAAATGTTATAATCCTTATTTTGAGACATGTAGAGCCTAAATTTTAGTGTATTAAATCAAAATAATATTTTCTTTCGACTAAAATTGCTTTGTAATAGCGACGTATACTTCATTCTATGGGTAAAATCATTTTATAGAACAAAATTGATTGATTCTCAAAATTTAAGTGGTCAGTAAAATAGACACTTGATGGTCTAAACGCGGCTAATTTAATATAAATCGATAAGATATGAAATCGTGGATTGCTAAGAATGGTTTGGATATGATAATTTTATTTAAGTATTTGATATTAAATTTGTAATGTTGTTTAATCTATATTTTAACAGTCAAAAGTTTTATTAACTATCTTTAAAGCACCGCACACAGAGGAAACCGAGTTATAGGAAACACTTTATACTGAACTATTGTTCCCCGCGGCGTACATCACGCTCTAGGCCGCGCGATATGACACCTCGTTTATAGAGCCATTCACTGCTGGTTTCTCTCGGTTCTCATCGGGTGGCTAAGCGTCGATCGCGCACCGAACAGATTGTTGAAATATTTTAATTTTCATAATATCTTAAACTATACGTCCAAATAACATGCTATATAAGCTCTTACGAAGTTACTACAAATTAACGATTTTTAAATTATTTTGTTTACTTGTGCTGTGGGACCTTAATTCTTGTCAAATTTCAAGATCTTAATTTTTGTCAACGGGAGTTGTTCGGTAACTGCAAGTATCAAAGTATGTACATGTTGCAGTAAGATGGTTAAAGCTGTGATATAATTATATCTCTAGGGATATAACTATATACCATAATATAGTTATTTCAATGTGGTTCATAACTATCTTACTAGGAATATAACCAGGCCTGTCTCACTCCGAGCTTTAGGCATGAAAATATACCTATGCTGCGCCGCCATCTACATGAGGCTAATTCCGTGAGGTTATAACGCGCGCGCTCGAACTGACGCGCGCCTTACGTTAACATAAAAATTATTTTTCTCTAATAAGTATTTAGGCACTTTTGACACATAGGCTGCACTAAAAGTATCGGGAATGGAATATTTTCACTGTTCCTGTCATATTAAAATCTTTTTAATTGTAAACTCCTTGGTTTTAAAAATCGAATACCATTTATTTATTTAAAAAAAGATTCTCGGTCTTCTCACAAGGTTTTGTCAAACTTGTTTAGTCGTTCAGAAAATGGAATTGACTCGAGAAAATTCAAGAGCGATGATTTATTATGACTTTCGAATGCATAAGCTGATTGAGGAAGATCGACATGTGACATACCGCGAAATTCAGGCAACTTTAGACATTGACATGAGTCAAATAAAAATAATCTTGCATGAACAATTAGGTGTAAAAAAGTTGTTTTCCCGATGGATACCGCATTCGCTCTGTGAAGAGCAAAAAGCGGCTCGCGTTACTTGATGCGTCAGAACTCTCGAAAGATTCCACACAGGATCCTCAAATGCTGTATACAACATCGTATCAGGTGACAAATCCTGGATATACGCGTACGAACCCGAAACAAAAAACCAGTCACGAGTTTGGGTGTTCGAAAATGAGTTAAAGCCAACAAAAATTGTTCGTTCACGGAGTGTTGCAAAAAAAATGGTGGCCACGTTTGTCTCCAAAACCGACCATGTTACGACTATTCCTCTTGAGGGACAAAGAACGGTTAATGCAGAATGGTATGCTAGCATTTGTTTGCTAAAGGTCGTTTCTGAACTCCGTAAAGAGAACTGCAACCGCCGCATCATCCTCCATCACGACAATGCGAGTTCTCACACCGCACACAGAACAAAAGAGTTTTTAGAGCAAGAAAACAGAATTATTAGACCATCCGCCGTATAGCCCCGACCTAAGCCCTAATTATTTCTATACTTTCCCTAAAATAAAGAATAAATTGCGTGGACAGAGATTTTCATCACCTGAAGAAGCTGTGGACGCCTACAAAACGGCCATTTTGGAGACCCCAACTTCCGAATGGAATGGTTGCTTCAATGATTGGTTCCATCGTATGGAAAAATGTGTCAAATTTCGCGGAGAATACTTCGAAAAGCAATAAATACATTTTTAAATAGTAATGTTGTGTTACTTCCTTGATTCCCGAAATTTTCACTGCCGCCCTCGTATTTATTTTTGAGTTTTTATTCAAGTATGGCCTCTCTAAAAGCCAAAAGGTACGGGCAAAGCATACGGGTGCTTAAATAAAAGCAGGAATGTCTACTTTTCATTCTTTACTGTTCTTAAGGATACCGTCAAGTAATATAATATTATTTATAGGTAGATCTACATAATTAGGTACTCAGTTACTGACGCCATAGTTACAGATTTATTATTTGATTTTTCGAGTTTTTCGCATATAATGCCAATGACCTTAAAAAATCCTTCAGGATCAGCATATACTGGTTATTAGTTTAGCACTTGGTCTATAAAGAGATTGAAAGTAGCAGCACTTCTCATTGCCACTCTTTCATTAATAATGAAGTCGAGTGTCGTATGTTTGTAAATAGCAAAAAATGTGAAACAGACAAGTGACGGCTCCGTGACGCAGTGGTTTAGTAATGAGTTGCAGTGCTAAGGGCCGCGGGTTCGAATCCCGAACGGAACAAGTAATTGTTAGTTTAAATAAAACTAATTCTACGGATTTTATCGCGTATATTAACTTATTTTATATTTCCGACGTTTCGGGCACTTTTCAGCACCCATGGTCCCCCCCGTGACCATTGGTGCTGAAAAGTGCCCGAAACGTCGGAAATATAAAATAAGTTAATATACGCGATAAAATCCGTAAAATTAGTTTTATTTAAATGTGTAGTGTTCGCGTAAATATAAAAAATCATTAAGTATTTGTATGGCCGACAAATAATTGTTCTGGGTCTGTTCTATGTATGTAAACTGTCCCTGCGATACAGGAGAAAATCCTAGTGTGGAGGTAACGTTATTTAAAAAGAGAGGAAGAGAGACAACAAATGAAATCAGCAAATCAGCGTCGCTATCCCGCGGCTAATGCTGAGACGGTCCCTTCCGCCACTTCATCTGTTTCGATTATTAAGTCATGAATTGTTGTTATATCCTCTATTTTTTTTTTGTTTATTCATTTTCTTGTGTTTTAATTTTTTTATTATTATTTGATTCTTATTCGTATTAATTTTGTTTATTAATTTGTCATTGTAATATGAAGTGTCGGAATAAATGTCTTTATGTCTTTAAATTAAAAATTTTGTACAACCGACTACAATATTAATACGCATTATTAAGGATAGCTCCAAAACTACTGGTCAGATCTTGATCAAAGAACAATGGCAGACTTTCATACATAAAATTAGTTGAGAAGAAATGGTAGCGTCTATATATCAAAAATATCTTAAAATGTTAAGCCTCAGTCCCTTAATAACTCTGTCAAAGTATTTTGTACTGAGAAGGCGTCAAAAAAAAGATATTTACATTTGAACTTTTTAATTTATGTCCTATGTCACTTGGAAAAAGTCATGCTTCCTGTGGTTGTTTGATGTTAGCTTAATACATAATTGAGAGTTTTTAGATTATTATATCTCTATTATATATTTGTATACTATAAATGTATATTTCTGGCATGGCTCCAGGTCCTTTTGTATCATAATGACATTCTCAGAAGGGCTAGAACCCAGAGCCGTAAAGCCAGTAAAAAAAAACAGTGACATTTTATTTTAGCTAGTGTTGGCATAACATTAAATGGAATTGTTACATAGTACTATGATTGAGATAATGTATTATTGTAGGAAATTCTTTGTAAGAGACTTATTCTCAGCCATATCACTTTTATTTTTATTATTACTGATAGTACAGTTATTACTAATAATAACTTAATATAAAAATATTTTGTGTGTTGTGTTGATAGTCTTAAAAATGTATACGAAAATAGTATAAATATACTAAATGGCAACATTTGATTAGAGTAAATTGATATAAGTCATTTGATATTCCCAAACATGTTTGCTTTTTTCTGTGACTTTAATTAAAATACATTTTTATTTGAAAAATCATAGAATAATAATAAAACTCATTTTATATATAACTTATTTCTAGACGCTATAATTTTTGTCAACTATTTTTCTGCCATAGCTCTTTATATGGGACTACATTAGAAGCACCAGCTTTCAAATAAAAAAAGAATCATCAAAATAGATTCACCTAGGAAAATGTTCTGAGGTAATGCACATAAAAAAATTACAGTCGAATTGATTACCTCCTCCTTTTTTTAACTTGGTTAAAAATGGTAAGTAGGTAAATTATCTGAGTTTCAAAGACGTTCACGTTGTTATAATCTTAATTTTCCTCGATTTTGCATATTAACCTACCTCACCTTGAACAATAAAGTATCAGCAAATTGATGGCTCCGTGGCGCAGTGGCTTAGCAATGAGTTGCAACGCTGGGGCGACGGGTTCGAATCCCACACGGAACAGTATTTGTATGGCCTACAAATAATTGTCCCGGGTCTAGATCTTTGTCCTTGTGCAATTTATGTTTGTTAAGTGCCTCCACGATACAAGAGAAAATCCTAGTGTGTTTTTGAACAAAATAAAAAAAAAATAAAAAAAATAATAATACATTGCATAACACCTCGGTGTATTCTAGTACCTCTATACCAACTAATATCAAAGGATTCAATTTGTTTTCTCACAACACCTAACCTACAGTAGAAGCGGTCTTAACAAAGGCGCATAACGGTCTAAGTGATACAGTCACTCGCACGCGGACGTAAGGTGCATTTTGATTTAATACGCGCGGCACATAATTTTTTTCGACGAAATAAACGGTAGGCTAATTTCAATAAGGTCACTTCCGAGGCGTGCAAAGTATTATGACCATTAGCGACGTTGTAACTAAGTTTAAACACGCAAGTTTGCTATCAGAGAGTGATCCTTCTGTTCTTTTAACTATTATTTATTCTGTGATATAACTATGATACTAGCACGATGTAGTAATATAACTAGACTAATTTAGGGAAATAATTATAAGTATATGTTACAGTCAAAACTCATAACCTGTGAAAACCAATTTTCACTGCAAAAATCAGGGACGTCCGTGATATTACAGTTATATCACGGCTTCAACCACCTTAGTGCGACATAATGATGTATCTTTTTAAAGTGTAGAGACCTGTTTCTGACAAAAGACAAAGCCTTGACAAAGAACTGACGGACGGACAAAGTGATCTTTTGTACGTGGTAGAGCCATGCTGCGGCTATATTAGTAGTATAGTTGTAGCACGAATGGGTCGGTTCGACCGGGGAAGGACCACGCTCTCACAGAATACCACTGTAAAATAGCAGCTTAACACTGCTGTGTTTCGTATGGTGAGTGTAGAGAACCGGAGGCCTTTTGTACTGGATAAGAAGCATTCCATCTTAGTCTTCATGAGTGACATTATTAGAGGAATTGTTCGGATTAATCCCAGCCGCCAAATTTCACGAACGCACATCGCGGCAGAACTCCCGATACTATCCACACCATCTGGATGATTGGCGGTCCACCACTGTGCGATTTAGAAGATGTTTTCTTCCTCGCACGACTTCCTTGTGGAATCTATTACCATCAGCGATTTTTCAGGACCCATACGACTTAGGGACCTTCAAGAAAAGAGCGTACTCCTTTTTAAAAGGCCGGCAACGCATCTGCGATTACCTCCCTGGTGTTGCAGCTGTTCATGGGCGGCGGTAGTCACTAACCATCAGGTGAGCCGCATGCTCGTTTGCCCCTCTCCTATAAAAAAAAATCTGCATTTTGATTCGCAAATGAGGATAGATGTAATGTCTATGGGCCACAGCAACCACTTACCATCAGATGGACTGTGTACTCGTTTGTCACTCGATCCTATAAAAAAAATCATATATCAGTTCCGTATTTTTCCTTTTGAGGATTTATTTCGTAAAAACTTACATTTCATCTCCATAGCATTGGGCATTACATTATGTGTTGATGATACATTGTATCCCTTCAAGAAATTTCTCTTCCCACATAACGTTCGCTCCAAGTTAAACTGGAAGCGTTTCTCTGTCGCCTCATCTTTGATAAGGTAATGCCAAGGATCTATATAAAACATAAAAATATTTAGTTTTAGGTTCTGCAGGCTTACTATTTTAAATTAATATTTTATCCATATAAAAGTTTATCAGCGTTAAGATATCAAATATATTTATTATATTTAACATAAAAATCCACTAACCAACAATCATGTTGGTATCAGCGCACGCTTGGACCCAACTGGGACCCACTATCGGCAGACCTAGTCCCATTGCGCATAGCAACTTAAATGTCCGTTTTATTTGTAATGTCAGCAATACTGTACACGCCGTCACATCCGTTACAATAACCGCACCTGGAAATGAGAAGCTCTTATAAAAGCTAGTAGTATTTCCTTATAGCTTGTTTCCTATAAAACTTGAAACAAGGTTTTTAATAATAATAATTTTATGCCTCAAGCTAAACGAAAACAAAATAATATTAGTATTAATGATGGAAAAGCCAATCCTATAGGCGAAAACAGATTCAGATTTTTTTTTAAACATAAATACATTAACTCCTACTCCTGTCACCCAAAGGGGTAGTCAGTGACCACGTAGTCACTTGGCACGATCTTAACACACTTCTCTTGCCTCTCTCATATCCATATATTGGACCATCTTCAATATATATATATATCGCAAATTTGGTCGCAAATTATATTCCCTTCCCGATTTTGCGATATATACTATCGCAAAATCGGAAAGGGACGCCCTAGGCAAAAGTTTATTGACCAAATTGGAGATGTATTGAAAATAGGCCAAATTAAGAGTGCCTTTAAGCGACGAGCGTGTATACGGAGGTATATGGATGTGGAAAAAGTGAGAGAGGTGTCAGGATCGTGCCAAATGGAAGTCCATAGACTCTGCATACCCCCCTGGGTGACAGGCGTATGTGTTTATGTATATGTATGTAATTTGGTCGATAAACATACGTCTGGGGCGTCTATTTCCCACTCAACCACTTCTGCAGCATTTTGCTTTGTCACTCTTTCCTCATTCATTATTTTCTACGTGCCCTAACCACCAAAAAATACCTCTCTTTATCCTGGTCACGGCATTGTCTTACACACCACACAATTTCTCAGCCTATCATCATTCAGACCAAGCATACTTCTCAATGACCGTATTTACCCAACATTAATAGCTTCCTTCAAGCCAGAATCAGGACATCTTTTATTATGCCAAGCTTTAGTGAGATTACAATTTGAGGCGAAAGAAAGAATGTGCCACTACCTTAGTCCCAATACTTTCATATCCCCAAAATATATTTGTTGTGCTGAAAAATTACATCGTAACATAAAAGACATTAGCTGTGGAGTAATCAGTATATTGTTCATCAGAGAAACTTTAGAGAAAAGCCCGGAAGATCTTGTTCAAGTCTTCAAAAGATGGTGGTCTAACTATCCCATAAACTAGGTGAGACCCGGCACACCGTGGTGTTTTTTACGTGGTAGATCTATGCTGCAGCTATATTAGTAGTATAGTTGTAGCACGAATGGGTCGACTCGAACGGGGAAGGACCATGTTCTCACAGAATACCAGCGTGAAATAGCAGCTTAACCCTGCTGTGTTTCGTATGGTGAGTGTAGAGAACCGGAGACCCTTTTTACTGCAAATGAGGCATTCCATCTTAGGCCTCACGGGTGACAACGCATCTGCATTTTGCTTTGTAATAGAGGATAGATGTAGATGTCTATGGGCCGCAGCAACCACTTACCATCACGACACGGTGGACTGTCTGCTCGTTTGTCACCCTTATTCTATAAAAAAAAAAACACGATGGAACACTGTGTTAAAGGTGCACAATGTCGACTATTACGATCGCCAATCTTTCTGCCAAATGTGACGTTTACGGCAAATCCTTCCTACTGTGGGAGAGTTTCATGCCCAATTTTATTCAGTTTACGATGAGAACAAGAGGAAGTGTGAATACTAGTTTTTATGTTTTTAGTACTAGTGTTTATATCTCTAGCCCAAAATTGCTCAAAACCACTAATTATGGATTTTCGAGCCTGTACATGTTCTGATTATGGTTGTGCTTCTGAACCCACGTCCAATCTGCTTATCTTTTGTAATTTAAATTGGAAAAAGGTAAGTTAGAACGAATGAAGTTTCTACATATTTGTTGCGCGTATACGTAATACGCAATACGTGAACAGTTGATGGCTATCGATAATGTTCGATGTTGTCGCGGTGATCGTAATCGATTAAAACAGTACTAATGACACAATGATATATATTTTAATCTCAATCTCTGGAGTTATAACCCCACACGGCCATATACTAAGCAGCTTTTACGGTTATCATTATGTTCCATAGGTAACAGAGAAACAGAAACAGGAGATGGACAGTAGTTTCTTTATGATAACAACTCTAAATGACAAAAACAATGTGCTCCTGCCTGCCAAGCGTGGTGACTGGCAACTATGGTAATATTTTATTATTTTACCATTATTTGATTTCCTTATGAGGCAATCTATGTTGGAGGCCTACGCTCAGCTGGACTTTTATAATAGAGTGGATTATGTTCCATAATATTGAGTTTATTTGTGTTGATCTTGGTAACATACAAAGATATAGACAATTTTAGGTTCGAGTGACACGAGCTAGTGGCGGCACGTTCATGTCACGTTGGTCTTTGTTGAGTATAATAAGAAATACCCACCTAATCTAAGAAAAAGTATTAGTAGTCAAAATGGCTTACCTAATTTTTCCAATTTCACTTTGACTTCGTCGCAGGGAAATGCCGTAAATAAAACTCGATGTGTTTTTATGTTCCTTGGAGTTTTTAACGACGTACTGTCATCCGCTTTTGTTACTGACCTAGTTTTCTTGACATTTGGAACTACTTCGTCATTTGAAGGCCTCTTAAAACGTTTATCATTCGGAGAATCTCTTCCTGATTCCGAAGAGATACTATGAATACTATATACAGTACTTTGCTCACGTTTGACTGGGTTATTTTTTTTAGAGTTAGATTTCGTACATTGTTCAATATTCGCTTCAAAGTCATTTTTAACTGTCCTCTGTCTCTTGCTTCGTCTTATCTCTTTTTCCGGTGATGAATTATCTTTGTCTTGATTTTCATAATTACGTTTTCTTTTATCACCCTTTCCTGACAACATGGTCTTATCTTTGGTTTCTTTATTAGTACATTTGATTTCATCTTTGTAATCGTTTTCTTTACGTCTAGTTCTAGTACGTGTTACACTTACTTCTTTAGACGTTTGTTTCATGTCATCCTGATTAATTTTAGTTTTTGACAGTTCATTTGCTGTTTCACGTCTCGTTACAAGCTCTGTACTTCCTCTTGTTTTATGAGAATCTTTACATGATTTTTTTACATTATCACTGCTTTCTATGGCTTCTTTTAATGTTTTATGTGATTTGCTTTTCTTTTTTATTTCAAAAAAATTCTTATTATCATTTTTCTTCTTATCACTGGCTATTTTGTCGTCATTTTTGGTTGTATCTGTCTGTTTGTGGTCATTGATTTTATGTTTCTTAGACTGTTCACGTAAATTTTTCTTATTTTCGATTTGTTTTTCTTCGTATAGTTTATCGTCCTTTTTGTTTTCACTTATTTTTTCTACATTAATTGGCTGATTTTGAGTGTTATTGGGTAACTGGTGTGAGTCTGATTTCACATCTTTTGAAATTTGTTCATCATGTTTTTTATTATCACTCGACTTCCCACTCTCACTGCCACTTTTCCTTTTAGCGGTTTTTCCTTTAAGACGAGATATATTTTCAGTAATAATTTCTTTATCAATATTTTCCTCTTGTTCTGTGATAAATCTGGGTTTTAATATATTTTTGGCAGTATTTTTTGAATCCATGTCACTATTTAGTAATTTCGCAGTAGGTTTTCTTACTCGCGTTATAATTCTGGAAGGTATTTTTTCTACATCGAATTTCTTTGTTAAATCTAATTTAGCGCTTTTATTTTTTTTATTTTTTCGGAACAGAATTGGAGTAAGCTGATCTTGTGAATCGTGTTCTGTATCAGAATCACTTGACGAATCAGTAACTAGTGTTCTTGAACTTAGTGTAACAGACGTTTTTATCTCTTGACTATTTGGCAACTCAGTTTCCATTAATGTATGGGGGCTTACTTTTTTAGGCGTAATATCTATATCTGAGTTATCACTAAGCACCTTCCTTACCTTCGTTATTTTTTTGCCTTTAACTCCGATAATATCTTTAATCTGCTGATTTGATAAATTAGTAACAAACCTATTTATTTTATCATCTCCGTCACTACTTTCTGAAGATTTGTCAACAGCGAAATTTTTCGCGACCAACTCTTTTTCTTCGGATATTAAAGATATGACACCATAACCACCGTTGTCTGTGCTTAACTGCTCAATATCTGAACACGTATCTTTCTGAGTGCACAAATCATTAAATATGTCTTGGGTTGCTTCATAGAAATTATCATCATTCATTACACGATTTTTTATTTTTTTCTCTTCTAATTTATTTAACAAATTATTTGTTACTGCTGATTTGTTAATTTCTTTTCTTTTGCTTTTTTTTAAAGATGGCATTGGAACTTTAAAAGGGCTTTTTTCTATAGAAATCACACTTTGTTTAAATGCTTCCGTTGGAGAGTCGATTTCTAATACTTGGGTTGGTAAATCTTCAAATGAAGAGTCTTTTGCACTTTTACCGATATTCATTGAACCATTTTCAATACTTACTTCTTCAATGACTTGCGTCGGCATATCTTCAAAGTCTAAGTCCGCAGATACTGTTTTATTTTTTATGTCGTCTGCCTCATTAGGTCTATCAATTGCTATAACTTGGGTTGCCAAATTCTCAAAACTAATCAATTTATCATCTTTTTTAATAATGGCATTTGAATTACAAGGTAGGATATCATCTTCACAATCAGTAGAATCATCATCATCTGGCTTATTATGAGCATTTTCATTAACTTTTTCTCTAGTTTCAAATAAATTATCTTCGCAGTCTGTACTGTCATCATTTGGCTTCAGGTTTTCAAGTATATTTAAATTTTTAGTGTTTTGTAATTTATCACCAGAGGGTCCGTTTTCTTGACATCCAGAGTTAAAATCTTGATTTTCTTGAATTTTCTGAGTAGGCAACATATCAAAATCCTCACAATCGGTCGAACTGTCACTGTTTATCCGTACTCCTCTCTTCATTAGTTTCTGATTATCATTTTTCTTATTTATGCTTGTGTTAGTCTCTTTGGGATCTAATATTTCAGCTCCTAATAGTATAGGTTGAGATTCGAAGTCATCTTGAAATGCTTCATTGTCCACTTCATCAAAGAGAATTTCTTCATCAGATATATTTAGACTTTTTTTGGGCGCGTTCTCAAGAGCTTCTGCAACCTTTTGATCTTTCTTATGGCCTATATTTGTTTCTATTTCCTCCTTGCTTATAACAAATTGCTGTGTTTCTGCATTATAAATGCTATTGCTATTTTCTTTATTTTCTACAAACAGATCAAGTTTCATCTCAAGTTGGTTGTGAATCTTTTGTATGTCAGGTAAGTTATCATTTTTCGTTAAATTTGTTTCCAAACTAGGAGTATTAGATGGTAATGGAATATTTGACGGTAACTGAGTGTTTGCAGTAAATATAGCATCTAGAACTTGATTTTGTTCAGGAAGAAAAGGAACTTGAGTATCCATTTCATAAATGCTTTTATTAGAAACTATATCGGTAGCTTTCAAAGGAGTTTCAACAACAGCATCACCCGAATCATCTGAATGCATTTCAAATGAAGCAGATTTTTTTGAGGAGTTCCAGTAAATATTATCAATTTTATTTGTTCCTACTGGCTGAATAGCAATAGTTCTTCCAGGTTTTATAAAGTGATTGTTTGGGCTTTTAAATCCTTTTTCATTTTTATCTTGTGAGGCCACAATAAAAGATTCATCCTGTAAATATTGAAAAATATATAAAAATATTATGACAGATAATTAATAAATACCTTCACAAACAGTGTTTAATGTTTACAATACTACAGTCTAATAAAAACTTTTATAAGATGTTCCAATTATTATTATAATAGAATATTATTATTGAATGGAAATTGTAAAATTGAATAAATTAGTCATGGCAAAATAAAAAATACAAAAATCTTATATCAAGCAGTACCTAAGACTATTAAGTACTTTTGTCAAGCCTGTATAAAACACATCACATACTGAATGTTTCATAGCTGCCTCATTGATATCTATGTTCTGTGACATACACGGATATGGGTATGTTTCAGCCTCAGAAAGAGGCCTCATGTTGACGGAATCCCGAAAGTGAAGAGGTTTCTGAAAGACTTCTGGTCGAGTTTATATATTATTATTCAAAAATACTTTTGTTTAAGGGTAGGTTAAAAGGGTTAAAAAATATTTCCTTAGACAAATATAACGTATTTTTAAAATGTCATTATATTTTTAACTGGGTTAAGTATCAAGAAGGTTCTGTATTCTATATACATCAGGTATGTTCTTTTTATGTATGTTCATAGATTTTTCGGAAACGACTAAATCAATTTAAACGATTCTTTTTTTATTAAACAGGCCAAATTAACACAACTATAAATAGTAAATAAGCAAAACTAACTATAAAAACTTACTTTATCACTAACATCTGGTGACTCCGGTATAATGGTAGTAGGAAAATTGTTTAGTTTTGATATATGCCTATTTATCATAGGTGTTTCAGGAATGTCTAAAGCCTGAGTCATTGGTAGATCATTATCTTCTTCAAGCAATCGGAAAACACCGAAGATCTGACCAAATTGAACAGTGTCGCCATTTTTAAGAGGATGAGGTATATATGGTGGCAAACTTTTCTGAAAAAGTGTGCATTCAATAAAACAGTAACATACACAGAGAGGGCCTACGTTTAACACATTAAATGATACCAGGTACTCTACGTTTTATTATCGTACACCGAAAATCAAATTCATTTGGTAGTTTAGCCACAGAAAATTAATATTATTTTAAAAAAATTTAAAAGTACGATAGGAGTTAGTAAATTGTGTCTACAAAATAAAGCGATGTTGACATTTAGACATTCTATCCTGACTTCTGTATTAATCTTACCGGCCCGGCGCGGCGGCGTGCAACAGCGAAGGAGCAAACGAAGGTGTTTCTTTTTTCATTTTATATTATAATCATATTATTTTGTTTGAAAAATTCATCATCATTATTACAGCCCCTCACAAGTCCACTGCTGAAGATAGGCCTCCCCCAAGGAATGCAACAAAGCACGGTCCTGAGCCACCTGCATTCATCGACTTCCTGCATGTCTTTAATAGCTCGTCACTCCATCTACAATCGCCCTACAGTTCCTCTAGCGGCCTGTTGCTACTCGTGAACCTTTCTTCCCTGTTGGTTTCTCGAGCTATATGTCCTGCCCATTGCCACTTTAGCTTACTAAGCTGTTTGAAAAATTACCTTTTTTTAATTTTGATATAAAAACAAAATTAAGAATTTCAAATTTATTTATGGCTCCACGGCGCAGTGGCTTGGCAGTGAGATACGCTCTTGGGGCCGTGGGTTCAAATTTTACAAGTAAATTTTTCTGAGTCTGGATGTTTGTCCTTGTGCAATTTATGTATGTAAACTAAGTATATATATATATATATATATATATATATATATATATATATATATATATATATATATATATATATATATATATATATATAATTGTGAATTACAATTGAAAAAAAACGATATAGCATACTCACATCAAGTAATCTTGTTTTGTTGGCTGAATCTAAATCCATGATCATATATTCTTTATCATTTAAAATATTAATAACAGCATGTTGTCTGGATACAGACTAAAACAAAATATAAAGCATATTATTCAAAATATCCATGTCACATTGTTGCAGCATAATAAAATTCACTATCCCTTGTAGATATTGTAAAGATAATCTAAAGACAATTGTGGGTGTGTTTAATACATTTTATTATATCAAAACTATAGTAAGTTAGCAGTAGTGTAAGTGTAAAGCAATTTTTAGTGATGATAAAAATTGCTATGTACCTAGTAAAAACTAATTAAAATGAGACAAATCTGATCCCAGGGCCATCAGACGTCACTTATTTTCTGACAAACGAAATGTAGCACATTGAGTAATGTAATATTTACTATGATTGCACGCCTACGTACTAGCTTAGCCAGAGGGCCATTTTCCATCCATTTATCAGGTAATCAAGGTACGTAAAAACATTACTCACCTCATGTTAATTCTCCCAGCTGATTTTTACGTAAATGTTAGATAATATAGTTAAAAAACAGTCATCAATACTCCCAGACACTTTCTGTCGGCAGTATCTCCTTGCAGACGCTATCAAAAATATTACTCAATTTCACTTGTATTGGACTGAGATGGAATGCCTCGTTTCCAGTAAAAAGGGTCTCCAGTTCTCTACACTCACTATACGAAACAACAGCATTAAGCTGCTATTTTACGCTGGTATTCTGTGACTGCCTGGTCCAACCCCGGTCGAGCCGACCCATTCGTGCTGAATCACTATATAGTTGCAGCATGGCTTTACCACGTAAAACGTATTTAAGTATGCATATTTAAGTATGTTTAAATTTCTTTATGACTGCAGCAGTCATAATACTTGTCATCCAACTGTCAAGCTGTTACATATCTATACATAACAGTTGTTTCATATGGTGTAAATTTGATGTCACAACATACTTTTCTTCAATATTTTGTGCAGTACCCACTAGTATAACATATATCACAGACTAGAGGTTACAAAGGACAGACTTCTCACATTGCAGGAAAGATTATGAACACAAAAACAAAATAGTACTTACATTTAAATTTAAAACAATATTGCATGTCTGTGGATCTCTTCCTATTTTGTTTGGACCTTTCTTCACTGGATATTTTGTACCACATATTCCCAGGAACCCAATCTAGATAAAATGTTTTTATTAAACATTAAAATTAATCACTATACAACAATGGGTATACTTAGCAGTTTAACATGGTTTTTAATACAGGGAAGCCAAGCTGTAGCTATATTATACTTGTAGTACGAATTGATCAGCTCAAATTGGGAAGGTCGCAAACCATTATTACTTTCATTTAAAGCTTACTTTCATATTTAAAGTTTTAATCACAGTGTTATAATAAGATACATAAAACTAATTCAACAATTGCTAACCCCAGTTTACATTTAAAAAAGTTCATTATTGCTATGAATACTCATTATAATTTTTTTATTATACAGAGCCATATTTACTCATATTTTCGACATATATCGACCCCTTGTGAAAACTGATTTTGGGGATTGACGAGGTCTAAAAATCGACCCCTATTAATGTAAGTGTAATAACTTGTGTTCAAGTTATTTGAAACTTTCAAGATATTGTATAAGTTGTGTTATGTGTACCAACTTGTTACAAGAATGATTAATATTTTAGTAGGAAGTATCATTGTTGAACTTTTAAAAAACTCAATAAGTTGATAAGCATGTACAAGTTCTTACAAGATGAAAAACTCGGCAAGTCAATAAGCTTGAACAAGTTTATGCAAGATAACGAGTTTGAGCATACATATCGTAAAGGCATTTTTAAAATTTAAATTAAATTTCTTATGATTCTTAAAGTAATTTGGCTATGGGGGTCTGAGGTAACAGTTATTTTGGAAAAGGTATCCCTTAATATTTAATGTATTTGTTATCTTGTTTATTTTAGCTACGACTAAGATTCTACTGGAGTTATATTATTATGCTGTGTACACTTTTTTGGATTAAAGTTTAGATCAATACCATTATACTTTTAATTTTAGAACTGAATATAACTACTGGCTGTTTGTCCTTATTCAATAATATAAAAATAAAATTATGTGCATTTTAAATGCCATATAATGGTAAAAGACTACATCATTCGATTTTAGACTTTGGGTGTCCAGACTGCAACTATGGGTAAAGGCAAAAAGTCTCGAGGCTTTCGATAGATAAATTAAAACTATCCCCTTTAGTAGTGTACATCTAGTGATGTAAAATATACAGACTGGTGATGGACAGTAATTTCCGCAGGGTCAGAACGCGATGTCTGTACTGCATCCGTCAGTACACCTTCCCTTTAAAACTACATTTTTCAGGCTAAAACAGAAGAAAATCATAAAGTTTTAAAGACTTGGTTAAAATAACAATTAGCCCCTATTCTATTTAATTTGAATTACTATTAAATTACATTCAGAACTATTAAACAAGTCATATATCGCATATTATATTTAAATTTGATTTCTGTAGGTTTGTTTGTGCTTAATAAAAGGCAATACATTTATAACTAAATGAGCAAAATAATTATTTATCTAAACCTGCTCCGGAAAAGACTTTTCCTGCTGACTACCATTAACCTCTTGTGTACACTCAAGTCTTTGAGTACACTCCATGTTATTTAATAATATATTGTTGCTAAAATAAAAAGATTATTTAAAACATTTTGTATTTGGTAATAGTGTTCTATGTTTGTAACGTAGTGTTTCTATATAGTTTGTGGTTGGTAACAAGCAAAACAAGCAATTTTCATAGATAAATAAATATGTTGCAAGGTAGCAGCAAAGGGATCTAGGCACATACAGCCTAGTCTGATGTGCATTGTACTCAGCGATACGGGCCTCCAACAGATCGGAATGAAGTAGCTATACACAGTCGTACCAATCTCAGAACATATTATCAGGTTAGGTTAGTTATAGAATTAGATTGATAAACGAGTGGACTGTGTGTCCACCTGGTGGTTAATGGTTGCTGTGGCCCATAGACATTTACATTTATCTTCAATTCAAATTCAAAATACACATGCGTTGTCACCCATGAGTACCAAGATGGAATGGCTCGTTTCAAGTAAAAAAAGATCTCCGACTCTCTAGGCTTACCATACGAAACACAGCAACATTAATGCAATTAAAAAATAGATTCAGTAGACTATATTAAATATTTCATACAAAATAGAAATATATCACAAACAAATTGTAAAAATAAAAATGCTTATAAGCTTGGGACCATTCCATTCTACTTTACTAAAATGAATCACTACATTAATATGAAAAATACAAAATCTGATAAAAATAATAGTATTATTAATAATGTATCAAATTATAAAAAAGGAACCATTCCTTTCTATTTTAAACCAGTCAATGAACAAATTGTTAATAACGTAACTAACAATCAGTTTATTTACTCCTGAGAACGTTCTGAATATTTTCCATGTTAATATACAAGGTTTAAAATCTAAATGAAATCTTTACTAAAGAAAAAACTTTAGTTATACTATGTTTTACGGAAACATTTTTGAGAAAAGATGAAAAGAACTTTTACAGGTTACTTGGCTTAGATTATTTAGTCTTTAAATAACGCCTCACGCAATGAGCGATGAAATAAAAACTGGCCAGTGTTTACAAGCGTTTGTGCGTGAGGCACGCGCTCATTATGTCACATGAGTAAAGAAATCGTACCGTACAGAGGCAAAGCTTCATACAACCGCGTTGTGATAGCTACATTACTACAAGCTTAAGGCGTATGTTTGCATGAGCACTAGCGGCTCGTCAGGTACAGAGAGAAACTATTTTAAATCGGTTTGACCAGTGTTCAAACTCAGAGTTGTGTAAAAAATAATAAGTGTCAAATTTTGTTTTTAAAGAATAATTCGTATCAAATGAAATATAATAAAGTGTGAATATGGTTTAAGAAGATTTAAATATTATCGAGGTTGCCACAAGAAATACTGCTGATTTTGTAAATAAAATTAATAATTTGTTTGATTTCTTAAGCTCAAGTACACTGCGATCTCCTAATAAATATAAAAGAGTATTTCGATGGGATAGTTATCAAATTGAGTTTTTAGAAGAAATGCTAACAGTTTTCAGGAACTTGAAATCATAAGAAGTGATAGGCAGAAAGACGTTACAAATAGCATGAAATTCATTCTCGGATTTCAAGTGTCTATAAAATCTCTAATAAAAGTTTCATTAAGAATTCAAATCAGAAGAAATTATATTTATTTATACTGACGAGACGTCTCAAACAAGATTCTCTCGAAAATTTCTTTGGAAAAGTCATACAGGCGGGTGGTAACTGCCAGGAAACAACATGTCGTCTAGTTAGTATAGTCTTCAATAAGATGTTTATAGCGAAAATCTCAGAGAAAACTCAAAATACTAACTGTGAATAGGATTTCAATATATTACCAGCTTATGAAACCAGACGATTGTGGTATTTTAATACACCATCACCGCAAACTAACAATGTTACTGTCCCTGTGTTAATAGTAGGAACTAATGATTATCTATTTGATTTACACCGAGGCACTGAGTCGAATGCTTTTTTGTAGTCTATTCAGGTGGCGGAGATTCCAACCATTTGGTTCCACGACCACCACCCCGACATCCGATTTGAGCGTGCAACATCACCTGCTGTTGTTCGTTTAGAGTAATGCTCGCGCTCAAAATAGATGTTAGTGTCTTGTATATCGTGGGTAGACACGTGATGTGACGGTATTTGCTCGGGTCTGTGGTAGCCCGATCTTTAGGAACCAAATAAGTTATCTCAGTAGGGAAGAGGCTCTAGAGTGATTTCTGGTCGAGAGGCTCTTGAAACTGTCGGGCAAGCACCGCGTAACACACCACGAACCCCTTTAGCTAGTAGGGATGCAGTCCGTCGAGTCTCGGACTTTTCCAGTTCGGGGCCCTTCGGATCGCTTCAGCTACATCGTTCGGCATTATGATGACGAGGTCCATAGGCGTAACATTCGCACACTGACTCACCACAACTTCCGTCCAAGGGCCCTCGCTGTGGTTTACGGGCTCTGACCACAGGCCACGCTAGAATGCGACGGTTTCGGCCTGATTCGGTGTTTGGCCCGTTCCATAAACCATTGGTCGCTCCAGTGATTTATAGAGCCTCTAGTGACTAATCTGGAAGAGACGATTATGGGTAAACCGTGTTGATCTCTCGGTACATTGCCGAATCCGCTTTCCCCGAGCAGCGATTCTCTGCTTCAGATCGTCTATGCACTCCGTCAGTTTTTGCGTAATATCCGGCTGGGACAAACTTATATTTGTCCCAGCAAACGCCATCCTGACAGTGCGAACAATTCTTGGTTTATTATTACCCGACCCGAAGCTTGTGAGCCTGCCGATTAAGGCTCTTGTCTTTGTGATACGGTTCTCAGTTCATTTTCTCCAGGCTGGGATGGTGCTACTTTGTCTAGTAGGACGTCCAGCCGTGGGAAGTTTGGCGCCAATAATACGGCAAACTGCCAGTGCGGCGCCAAAAAGAACTGATTCCGTTTCCCAAAAATCCCGGCTGGCTTCCAAATAGGTTACCAGCATTGGGTTGAGAGCCCTCACGTCAGCCCGATTCCGCTTGCTTAGGGGTATGCGGGGAAGTCGCGGTCGATTTTCGGGAGGCGTACTGCGCGTTTACAAAATAGCCTCTTCCAATATGCTCCTCATTTGCTCTAGTTTGTGGGAAACTATTTCATTATCGTCTGAATCAACCACAACTGGAATATCTACGGCGGCTAGTTTGTGTCTATAATGCATAATTGGATACCTAAATGGAAGGTTTAATATTAGTTTTATCCAAAAGCTAATTTTTTCTCTAAATAGTTCATTAGTCGCTTGTTAATTTTTTTTCCAGAATCTTAGACATTGTGCTCAAAAGTGAAATTGGGCAATTGTTAATCGGTGAATATTTATTTCCAGATATATATATATATATGGGATAGACAATTGCATTTGTACAGATTTTGGGGTAAGCACCAAATTCAAAGATCAATTTAAATAAATACGTAATAGGTTCCGAAATGTGTTTTGTGTTATATTTTAGAATTATAAATGTAAACGTAATATAATTGTATTCCTATGAGTTATTTCATTTAATACTGCAGATGACGCTTGAAACATCCACTGAATCAGTCAGATATTGATATTGACATTGAACCATTTGATGCATCTCAGCAGATCTCTAATATATATTACAATAATAATTTATGTTTGCAGAGAAAGAGTACTGTCAGTAGTGTTAAGTTTGGATAAAACGGTCTTAAACATAGGCTTAGAGATAGCGTTAGCTAGTGATATATATTTTACTTACAAGGACTATCGAAAAATTTAAATGTGTTAAATTAAAAAACTCCCGAAGGATCAGATTGGAAAGTTGTATTTTCGAGCTATGATTTTTGGAGAAAAATATTTACTGCAATGGACAGTTTCCCCGGAATTTCTTTTTTAACATATTGTTAATATAAATAGGTAAATACTTAACTAAGTATATACATATTTATATTTTACATATTTTATAAGAATGTTTTGACGGGGAAATAAAAAAACGGGGACACGGAATACATAATGGCTGCTTTATTTTTCATGTAAGTATTGTATTACTTTTGATAATTACAAACATTTAATAATTAATAATTAAATACATTATAGAAGGTTATTTCAACATTGGACTTAAATATGAATGTAAACTTAAAATTTATGTAAGGAAATTTGTACGAATCAGTTAAATAAGATGGTCGTGGATGTTTAAAGGTCAATATGTTTATGAGGCTTCATCATGCTTCATATTTATATTCTTTCATCTGTCCCTAAAAAGTATAAAGTAATATAAAAGTGCCGTGTAGTGGCGGTCAAGAATATCCACTACCCCATATCCTCCCGTGGGTGTCGTAAAAGGCGACAAAGGGAAACAGCCAGGAGATGGGCAGCAGCATCTTCCTGATAATAGCCAAATGACAATAAAAAAACTGCGGTTGCCAACCCGCTCGCCAAGCGTGGCAACTATGGCAAATACCCCCCAATGATGAGAGCAACAAAAAAACGGCCCCCAGTCCCCGGCGGCCCCGCTATTCCTGGCTACGGTGGCGACCATGGTAACGGCGGGGCAGGGGGTGCTAAGAATCTCCGGTGGAGGTTCGGTTGCCACCTTAGACGACTCGACCTGGACCTACGACTCAACGTACAACGCACGCACCCTGAGGACTGATGAGAAGATCGTGGAGCTGGAAGAAGAGATAGACAAGTTGCGCTGGCATATTATAGGATTATCTGAAGTCCGAAGAGAGGGGGAGGACACGGTAATCCTCGAATCCGGCAACTTGCTCTATCACCGGGAGGGCGACCATCTGTCCCAAGGAGGTGTCGGATTTATCGTCCACAAGTCTCTCGTTAACAACGTTGTAAAGATCGGGAGTGTGTCGACGAGGGTTGCGTACCTTATACTCAGAATCACCAAACGGTATTCGCTGAAGGTCATACAGGTTTACGCACCAACCTCGGTACACCCCGATGAGGAGGTGGAGGAAATGTATGAGGATATCTCTAGAGCCATGCATTCCTCCAAAACCCAATATACGGTGTTAATGGGAGACTTCAATGCAAAACTAGGC